AGGGGTTTTAAATTTACGATCTAATAAACAGAACAACAATTAGTACAAAATCTACCGGCAGAACAAACGGACACAAAATTAGAAATATAGAATGAAACAGATATATAATTCCCGAAAGCGTAAAACCTTCGTAAACCGTAGCAGATGAGATAGTCTAGAAAGGCAAGAAACATAAGCAGGAAAACACGAAAATAGCTGATAAAGAGCATGAATCGGTTCGCAAATTTGACAAATAGTTACCAGCTCAACGCATGAAGACGGAATTAATAATCACCATTAAAAGAAACGCAGAGAACAAGAAAGAGAGCTAGGTACCAAAGATTATACGAGTCCCGGCGGCTAACACCCCCGATAGAGGCAGCAGTGCGGCGGCGGCGGCGGTCGGTATTCCGATGGAGGTTGCAGTGTGTGGATTGGGAAGAAGACGGTGGTGTTACAGCTAATTGATTCTCAGCTGGATTGATTGATTGATGAAATATAAGATAACAGAACAAAAAGGATAAAAGGTTTATTCTTCTCCGAATTTATTGAAGTAACGTCTGCTAATGGAATATGAACTCTCGTGGGCCGCGGACTCTCTAGAGAGAGAAAGAGAATGAGAGAGAGATGGTGGGACCTTTCCCTCGTTTTTTTCACAACCACCTCTAATTGCATAAGGACAATGCTACACGTACCGCAGCTTGTACCGCAGGGTTTACACTTTGGTTAAAAAACGTATTCTCAGAATACGTTTTTCAAATAATTTAATTGAAAAACGTATTCTCAGAATACGTTTTCAATGAAGGGTACACCATGCGGTACAACCCCTGCGGTACAAATAGCATTTTCCATTGCATAATGTATTGGGTTTAAGTGATAGTCTCGTACGCTTCGGAATCTTACTTGACGAAAAAACATGTTTCGTAGTTGTGTCTGGATAAAAATTAATATTCCCTCCTATTTTTTTTAAATGTCATTCTAGCTTTATCAACTATTTGCTAAATAAATGTCGTTTTAGATCTTTTTTACATATTTTTCCATTATTACCCTAATAAATACATCACGTCTTTTCATAATCACTCTTCATCTTTTTCTCAAAACATTCATCTCTATCTTCATTAAATAAGGTTATTATTGACAAAAAAAATATTCTTAATAGACGTGCAACATCCCAAAATGATATTTATTTAAAATAGGAGGTAGTATATTATTCTAAATAATAATTATAGGTTCGAACATTCCAAAAACATTGAAAAATTAACTTGGTAATTTCATAATAGTTTGACTAATATAATCCTTATATTATATGGGAACTTTGGAAATTACACTGATTGACTAATATAACTTTGATTTATGCTCTTAATGAGCCGCTCATTAATTTTCATGAAAACCTCAAATTAGCCTAATAAACATATATTTAATTTTAAACAATTATTGTTATTATTATTAATATAATCCTTATAAGTATTATATGGGAACTTTGGAAATTACACTGATTGACTAATATAACTTTGATTTATGCTCTTAATGAGCCGCTCATTAATTTTCATGAAAACCTCAAATTAACTTAATAAATACATATATTTAATTTTAAATAATTATTGTTATTACTATTTGATTTTAAAAATAATTTTCTTATCAATTATCTGGGTATCTGCACTGCACCTGCCAAGCACCAATAATGGAATTAAATATTGAAAATGAACAGTACCATAAATAATGCAAGTCTATTTCATCTTCTTGGTCATTTTTTGGTCGGGCTACACAATAATGGAATTAAATATTGGAAATGAACAGTACCATAAAAAATTAATGTAGCGTGGGAACTAGGTAGTAGGTTTGATGAGAGAATAAACTTAATTCTTTTAGCTTAATTTTTTTGCACACTTGACAATAGCCACTAAAGTATGAGATATGTCTTTTTAGTTTTCTTATGTAAACATTCAAAAAAAAAGCATTAATTAATTACTCTATTTCTAGTATGAGTCTCGTGCAGTGCACGTATAAGAGATATTTATTAATATATATCATTAAATTTTTTAATAAAAAATATGTATAAATTAAAAATGTGAATTCAATATATAATACAATTTACGTATATTAATTTATTGAAAATGTTATATAAAGTTTATATCGTGCAAAATTACATAAAAAATGTATATTTAAAATTAGTACACAACTCATGCGGTGCACATAACTGATAATTTACATTATATTCGTTTCAAAAGAAGTATTATTTCAACATTTTGGTTCTAAAATTTGATTTGACTATAATGTTATTCATATATTCAACAACTTATGTGAATAATAAGTATAAATATAAAATTTATAGGCTTAATTGCTTATAAATGCATGACCTTTTCGAAAATTGTAATTTTATGCACCACTTTTAAACTTGGCAAAAATATGCACCACTTTCATTATTGTTTGCAAATTTATGATCAGGACCCAATTTCGGGCTTTTATAATCAATGTGGCATTATTTTTTCAAATGTGTCAGTTGTTATTCCAAATCTATATTCCACGTTGCAATTGCGTATATAATACTGAGAATCTCATCTTCAATTGACGAGCTATCCGAAAATTCCCCAAATTTCCTAAAACCCTAAATTCGAACGGATTTTATGCACGAGGCGATTCGAAATGCACAACGAAAAGCCAAACCGCTGGAAAATAAATCATCCGGTGGAGGGCAGATCGAGATTTACATATACGAATGCAAAACCTGCGGTAGGACTTTCACCTCGTTTCAGAATTTGGGCGGCCACCGGGCGAGCCATAGAAGTCCAATCGAAATTATTCCCTGAAGACCGGAGAGGAAGGTGGATCGATTTTGTCCGCCGCCGCCGTCGCCGATGTTTCTCTCCCGCAATTGATCGGTAAGGGTTTGAATATAGAGAGCAAAGTGAAAATTCACGAGTGCTCCATTTGTGGATCTGAATTCGGGTCGTGGCAGGCGCAGGGTGGCCACATGAGAAAGCGCAGGGCCGCGAGCAACAACGACAACGCTAACAAAAGTGCCAATAACTGCGAGTCGTCTCTCGATGAAGTAGGCGAGAGAGAAGGGAACGTGGCGGCTGTCGATTTCGATCTTCCCCAAATTTCCTCAGATCCTAAATTGAAGTTAAAGTTAATCGGTATTTCCACGTGTATTCGGTTTTTTCAAGTTAAAGTGAGATAATTGATACGTCTGAAAAAATAACGCCACATCGATTAGAAAAGCCCGAAATTAGGCCCTGATCATAAATTTGCAAACAATAATGAAAGTGGTACATATTTTTGCCAAGTTTAAAAGTGGTGCATAAAATTACAATTTTCGAAAAGGTCATGCATTTATAAGAAATTAAGCCAAATTTATATTGTTTTTTCACAATCATTTTATTTGCACCAACACATGTATGTAAGTAGAGGTGACCAACTGTCGGGCCGGGTCGATGGGCCTCAATATTATGGCCCGTGACCGGCCCGAAAAAACCTATGGGTCGGGGTCGGTACGGCCCTTAAAAAAACCGAAGAAAAAAAACAATGTGACCCGCGACCCGACCCAGCCCGGCGGGTGAAAAACTAAAAATTTGTGAACTGAGATCGAACTGCAACCCTACGTGTCCGGTTCATGGAACCAGCCCTTAGGAGGACGATTCCGGGCCGGTTCAGACCGAGCCGAGATTCTTGGTCATTTTTGTGGGGCTACACAATAATGGAATTAAATATTGAAAATGAACAGTACCATAAAAAATTAAATGGAGCGTGGGAAGTGGGAAGTAGCAGGTTTGATGAGAGAATAAAATTTTAATTCTTTTAGCCTAAATTTTTTTACACACTTCACAATATAAAATTATGTCTTTTTAATTTTCTTATATAAACATTAAAAAAGATGCATTAATTAAACTACTAAATTAATAACATTTTTTTTTTTTTTTGTAATACTCCAACTTTATCTTATTTTCATATTTGACATCCAAAATTTCACTTAATAAATTCTTGTGCCCACTGAAAAAATAGCATAAAATTAAGTAGAAAAGTTGAAAAAATATGCAGAAAACATCATTTCAACTTGAAGACCCATATGAGCTGAAAACATCAAACAGATTATGGTGTATTGTTGCCCACTAAAAGAGCAATAAAATGAGAGTTCACTCATCAAATTTGGACAATCAAGTAACATTATGAAAGCAGTCTAACGGTCGGATCTCCAGTAACATTCCAAAAAAAAAAAAAATACTGCCCAATACTTTAATTTATTTATAAATTCTAAAATTAATTTAACAAAGTATCATATGATGAAATTAAGTATATTCGTTGGATAGATTAAGTTGAA